AGCTGACATGACTCACACTCTAGAGCTGACAAGTGAGATAAACCAGATACCATTTTCTGAAGTTTTGACAAACTGGGATGTCCCAACCGTTTATGTAATAAATCTGGTGAATCAGTAACAGGACAAGTTGTAGAAGGAAGACAAGATGTGAGTCCATGTGATTTAGCAAGGATAAGGTAATAAAGTCTATTTGATTCACGTCTGGTACCAATGATCCGCCCCGTACTGCGTTCCTGTATAAAAACATGGTCATCAAGAAATAAAACAGCGCATTTAAGTGATTTGGCTAAGCGACTAACAGCTATGAGATTAAAAGAACTATTGGGAACATAAAGGACTAAATCTAAAGGTAAGGAAGGAAGTGGGCTTGCTTGACCTATTGTCGTTGCCATGGTTTGAGACTCATTGGCCATTGTAACTTTTGGAAGAGATTGAGAATACGAAATAGTAGTGAAAAGAGATTTGTTACCAGAAATATGATCTGATGCACCTGAATCAATGACCCAAGACTCAGAGGATGAAGATTGGGAGAAACAAGTCACGCTATTACCTGTTTGAACAACAGAAGCTATCTCAGAAGATGTCTGCTTACATGTTTTATATTGAAGGAACTCAATATACTCTGCTAAAGAAACCATCCGACTATTCAAAGCATCGGTTCCCATGTCGCTACAATTTGTAGTAGTAGTAGGGTTAACTTGAAATAGTGGAAATAAGTAAATCCTGTGAGAAAACTGAAGAAATAGCTTGAAAAACATTGTTTACAGCAGGAAAACAGAACATTGTTCTGTGCCGGAAATACTGTTCACGCGGAAACACTGTAGCTCGCCGGAAAATTCCAAAGTTGTTGGAATTTGTTGTAACCAGAATGGATAGACTCGGAATTCCTTTGCGAGCAAGCTGTCCTGAAGAAATATTTTCAAACAATGGCCAGAAGGTCACTGTTCACGCCGGAAAAATATAAAAGTGACCAGAATTTGATTTGAATTAGATGGGTAGGCTCGGAATTTTGAGGAGAGCACACTGTCCTGAAGAATCTTCGCGAAAAAATGGCCGGAAAGTGGCTGGAACCCTCGCCGGAAAAGTTGTTGCCGGCGCGTGGAGGAGCGTGGCGGCTTTTCTGCCGGATAAAATTTCAGGGATTGGTAGTCGGAGGGTGATCTACCTCGTGGTGGTATTGGTTTTAGCACAACACCGACAGAAAGTGACTTTCACTTAGACAAGCCTTAGGTCACCGGAAAAATTACACGATGACTAAGTTATTTCTTCCCGATTAACGCTGGAATGACGCACAGCGATCTTTTCTCACTAATGCTCTGATACCATGTGAGAAGGCACGGGAGAAAATATGTTATTGATATTGGATTATAAATACAATACAAGAGGTTCCTATTTATAGCTATACACTACAAGGAGATATTACTCCTCTTCCAATGTGGGACAAGACTACACTATATATATTTATAAACTAACAATCTTAATTACTAGATTTACATCTACCTGCTTAATTAGAATCAATTGCTTCATGATCCACTATTATTGTTACTTGATTCATATGTGCCTTAATTGAAACTGTTATCTCTTTTATAGCCATGCTATCTTTTCGTAAATGCTTATCTTTAATTGGAATTAATATTATTTTTTTCTATAATTGTTCGGTCTTAATTGAGGTTATGATAATTTTTCCGTTGCTTATCCTTAATTGAATTGTTGAATATCCTTCGTAATTTCCTCAACCTTAAAAAAAGTTTAGATATCATATATCTTAGTCGACTTGTTTTATTTGAAATTATTTGATGCGTGTTAGCTTCCCTGTTGTTGAAGTGTAAATTGTGGGATCGTTGCTACACATTAGTTTTCCCTTTGTTGAGTTGTTCTCTTTACGCCTAGCATTCTTTATTGTGGTTATTCCTTGTGAATTGGTTCTACCGTTTCTTTGTGAATTAAAGTTCTTGAGTTGATTTACTTGTCGTACTTTGTATTATTGTCATTGTTGATGTGGTACTTGTTGTGGTGATGCACGAGGTTTCTGCCGTGCGGTTGTTATTATGGGGTTGCACGAGGTTTCTGTCGTGCTATTGTTACCATTGATATTTGCACATTCGGCGTGACAAGACGGGATATGTATATATATATGTGGGTTGCGCATGTGGCGAGACAAGGTAGAAACATTATTATGCACGTGTGGCGAGACAAGACGGGCATTTATGTTACTATTGCACACGTGGCAAGACAAGGTGGGCTGTGTCAGGGATTGATTTGTGATGATTTATGGCCTGGGGGCATTCTTGTTGTTGATATTTGTGTAGTGGTATACGTACCTGTGTGAACTTTATCTTGTGAAAGCTGTGAGAAAATATTCTACGTGTTGTCCGTTCTTCTTCTTCCTTATGCTTGTTGTCCGTTCTTCTTCTTCCTTATGCTTATTTGCTGGTATGGACTATGTTAGGACACTTGCACAAGCATACACATAGTTAAACACTCTTATCGGATAAGAGGTGTTCTTGATATTGTTGAGCATAGATGCTCACCCTTGTTTACTTGCCTTCTATGGGAGAATGGCTCTATTAGCACGTGAGTCGTCAGTGCAGTTATGAGGTGTTATGAGGGCACAGGATGCCAAGTGTTAGGGTTCAGGTATTGAGACCCGTGAGTTGTGAATTTGTTCAAGGTTCGGTACCTCGTGGAGTTGTTGGCTAAAACGTGATGTAAAAGCGGTTGTAGTTACTGAGTTATTACTTGTCCTTGCTGTATTCGTGATTCCGGATTTAGGTTGTGTTCCATTCACTTTGTCTGCGTCATTTTCATGATATTCCGTTGATACTTGTTTTTTCTTGCTTTAATGCCATTACTGTATTGTGAGCCATATTGCATAGTCCTTATGAAGACATTATACTTCTGTTATTCATGAACTTATATTTGTTCAGTTTATTAGACCAGTGGGTGTCTTGACTGTTCCTCGTCACTACTCTACCGAGGTTAGTCTTGATATTTACTGGGCACCGCTGTGGTGTGCTCATGCTACTCTTCTGCACATTTTTGTGCAGATCCAGGTACTTGTTCGTTAGCTAGTTGTGTGGACTGTTGCTGTGGAGACTCAAGGTAAACCTGTTGTTGTGTTCGCAGGCTTCGGAGTCACCTTCAAGTTTTCGTTTTGCATTGTTCATTACTGTTTCTGGACAGTTGTATTTAGAGGCTTTCTAGCAAACACTCTGTAGAGCTTATGATTTGTACTACCGATTTTGGGAATTGTAAGAGATTCTATCTAAATAATGTTGTTGTTTTAATTATTGTTAGGCTTACCTAGTCCCTAAGACTAGGTGCCATCACGATACCCAAACGGAGGGGAAATTGGGTCGTGACATCGTCCGTCTGTAGTTAATTCATAAGCATCATCTTTTTGCCTAACAGCGCCTAACTGAACCAGATTTCTGGTGGCCATCTCAATAGCTTTAGCGCTAGGTGCGTCAACAAAATCAAAATCTTGCACGTTCTTGATGCCCAGAGCAAGAATCCTCAGCACTGCAACACCAAGATGAACCTTGCGAATTTCAGGTTCCTGATGACAAGGCATAGCCTCAAAATCACTTTCTGAGTAAAGTCTATAACACCTTCCTGGTTCAGTTCTCCCAGCACGGCCAGCCCGTTGATTAGCAGAGCTCTGGCTGACATTGCATATCCTGAGAATACTCATGCAAGTGCCAGGTTCAAACCTGCTTTCTTTGACCATGCCAGAATCAACAACACATTTAACCCCTGGAATTGTCAATGATGTCTCAGCAACATTTGTAGTGAATATTACCTTTCTGTTCCCCGGATAGCTGAGAAAAACTCTATGCTGTTCTTCATAGGATAGTTTGCCATGTAAAGGTAAAGCAATGGCTGATGATGATTGAAACTTCTCACAAGCCCATTCGACTTCAATTTGAGAAGTCAAGAAGGCTAGGACTGTTCCCTCTCCCTCTGTTTCATGGATTTCAGTCACCGTCTTAACAACATCATAGACATAGGAGGAGATTGGGCCAGCACCAAGACATCCAATGGATTCACAGGGAACATATTTAATATCAACCGGATAAGTTCTACCCGACACGTGGAACGTTCCACAGCCAAAGAAGTAATCAGCAAGCTGGTCTGCATCAGCTGTGGCAGACATAATAACAAGCCTCAGATCAAGCCTATGATAGAGCAGATTCTTTATCAATGCTAAAAGTAGATCAGTGTTTAGGCTTCTTTCATGTGCCTCATCAACAACAATACATGAAATCTTGGACAAAGTCTTATCGACCATATAGTGCTGTAGAAGGCAATGATCTGTCATAAACACAACCTTTGAGTCAAATTTATGACCAGATGAATATGAAGAATAGCATATGATCGAGGTGTCATCATAACACCCTTCGCTTTCTTGTTGCACCCTTCGTGCCAAAGAGTTGGCAGCAAGCTTCCGGGGCTGAGTACAAACCATAGATCCATTACCAGTCACTCCAGAATCAACTAGGAATTGAACCGGTTGTGTACTTTTTCCTGATCCAGTCTCGCCAATCAAGACGGTCACCTAGAATTTGCAACATTCCAGGATATATATATAAAAAAAAACAAAGAATCAAGCTCAACACAGATGACTTGTAAATAACTGATATTACACAGGTATGCTAGGAGCAAGTGAAAGTCCTTCGGAACTAAATATCCATTTTCGCAAAGTCAAATATGAACAAGCCATTTGTGTAATTAAATGCTAGACTGGACAACAAAAACGGGAGGGGGGGACAAAGGAAAATAAACAGTTTCTCAGAACCTGCAAACAGCAAACACGATGACTCAACAAAATTTAATTTCTTCGTAAGTAATATAACTCAATACTTCAAAATTAACAATATTTTCATTTTTAAATGGTAGTTCAAAATTTCTTCCCAGTAAATTCGCAGTAAAAATTTAAGATCGTAATTATTTTTTTATGTTTTCAAGATAAGTTCAGCTCATTATTCCTTTATCGCGAGCCGGAATGATAACAAAGGATGAATAATATTTTTCTTTTGCTAATTAACGTCCAGGAAAAAGAGAGGGCAAGCCCTCGTACAAGGTATAGTTGCTATTTGGCAACCTCTAAGTCACATGTTTGTGTATTCTCATAAATGCAAGGGGGAGGTCGTGTACATGTGCAGTCTCCCTGTAATATGGCCATTAATTTGGCTTCTTCTCAAGTGGGGGCCAAATTTTCATGACATTTGCCATGACATAATATCCACTATAACAAAATTTGTGGATCATGACATTTGCCATGACATAATATCCACTATTAGGCCAAGGATTTCTTGCTATAAAATAGAGGAGCTTCTCCTCATTTGAAAATACACCAATTCAAGAGTTTTTCACTCTTGTCTTTCTTTCTCCTCCATTATTTCATTATAGAGTATTTTGTAAGAGAGTAAGTGTTGGGAAACACTTGTGTGAACTCTTTCTTTGGACTTATCTTGTGAGGTTATTCTCTTGGGATATTTGAGACTAATTAGAGTATTTACTCTAATTTTGTACTCTCTTTTGTACTCTTGTTGGTATAGTGAAATTGCTCCTCTCCGCTTGTGGACGTAGGTCACCTTGACCGAACCACGTTAAATTTGTGTCTTCTTCATCTTCTTTAATTGTCGTTATTATCAACTTGCATTGTCTTTGTTATTGTCATTATAACGTTGTTTGGCTAAATTCCGCACTACCCGACAACCCGATCCAAACAAATTGGTATCAGAGCCAGATCTAACTGGCCGGTTCAAAGCACAAAAGACAGCTTTCTTACATGGCGAACTTAAGGAACAAATATACATGCATCAACCCGAAGGATTTAAAATTGAAGGAAAAGAAGATCATGTTAGCTTGTTGAAGAAATCCTTGTACGGATTAAAGCAGTCTCCAAGACAATGGTATAAAAGGTTTGATTCCTTTATGTTGGGTCATGGTTATTCGAGGAGCATGTATGATAGTTGTGTTTACTTCCGAAAGTTAAATGATGGTTCATTTGTGTACCTATTATTATATGTTGATGACATGCTCATTGCTGCTAAGGATTTAACAGAAATTCACAATTTGAAAAGTCAGCTGAAAAGTGAATTTGAGATGAAAGATTTGGGAGCAGCTAAGAAAATCCTTGGTATGGAGATCAAAAGAGATCGAAAAGCCAACAGGCTATTTCTGACCCAGAAGAAGTACTTGGAGAAAGTCTTGGAGAGGTTTGGCATGAAAGATGCTAAACCAATTAGTACCCCTCTTGCTGCTCATTTTAAGTTATCAGCTGATCAGTCCCCGCAGTCAGAGAAAGAAGAGAGATACATGGCACAGGTTCCTTATTCTAGTGCAGTCGGCAGTATTATGTAAGCAATGGTTTGTACACGTCCAGACATTTCACAAGTAGTGAGCGTGGTAAGCCGGTATATGACTTGCCCTGGTAAAGCACATTGGCATGCTGTGAAATGGATTCTCAGATACTTGCGAGGTACTTCAAACACATGTTTGGAGTTTGGGAGAAATACTAACACTTTGGTTGGTTTTGTAGACTCAGATTATGCAGGTGATCTTGACAAAGAAAATCACTGACATGCTATGTATTTTTGCATCGGTGGTTGCGCTATTAGTTGGAAAGCTACATTACAACATGTAGTAGCTTTATCTTCTACCGAAGAAGAATATATGGCAGTGACCGAGGCGATCAAAGAAGCTTTATGGTTAAAGGGTCTATTTGCGGAACTCAGTTTACACAAGGTGGTATTACCATTTTCTGTGATAGTCAAAGTGCCATTCACTTGACTAAAGATAAAATGTATCATGAGAGGACGAAGCACATTGATATAAAGTATCATTTCATCCGAGAAACCATTATTGAAGGAAAAGTCTTTGTTCAGAAGATCTAACACTAGAGACAATCTTGTTGACATGTACACAAAACCTCTCCAGTGTCCAAGTTCAAGTTTTGCCTGAACTTGATTGGCATTTATGAAGAACGATTTTTCCCATTAGGGTTTTTGCGTAGAAGGTGGAGCAAATTTACTATATATAAGCCGAAATTAGGCCAAGGCGGAGATTTGTAATACGACCATTAATTTGGCTTCTTCTCAAGTGGGGGCCAAATTTTCATCACATTTGCCATGACATAATATCCACTATAACAAAATTTGTGGATCATGACATTTGTCATGACATAATATCCACTATTAGGCCAAGGATTTCTTGTTATAAATAAAGGAGTTATCTCCTCATTTGAAAACACACCAATTCAAGAGTTTTTCACTCTTGTCTTTCTTTCTCCTCCTTTATTTCATTATTATAGAGTATTTTGTAAGAGAGTGAGTGTTGGGAAACACTTGTGTGAACCCTTTCTTTGGAGTGATCTTGTGAGGTTATTCTCTTGGGGTATTTGGGACTAATTAGAGTATTTACTCTAATTTTGTACTCTTGTTGGTATAGTGAAATTGCTCCTCTCCGCTTGTGGATGTAGGTCACCTTGACCGAACCACGTTAAATTTGTGTCTTTTTTATCTTCTTTAATTGCCGTTATTATCAACTTGCATTGTCTTTGTTATTGTCATTATAACGTTGTTTGACTAAATTCCACACTACCCGGTAATCCGATCCTAACACTCCCCATACAGAAAAAAACTTGTCCGACTGGTGCATGCACCAATATACAATAGTTAATGATACTGTTAATTGGTTAATTGAGGTAAGAATGCATATATTAACAATTGTTAGCTGACAAATCTTATGTATAAGACACATGCCCTGCACTTATTACTTTGGTGCATGCGTTGTGTCTGTGGTGCAAGTAAGAATTTGTCTGTCCACTATATTCAACAAGGTAACAACTCGAATGGTTTTGAATGTATCCAACAAGGTAATAACTCGAATGAATTTAAGTTATATACATTGACAGAGTAAAGTTTTTTTTATCTTTACGCTGTCAGTGCATAAAACTTAAAACTCAAACAAGAATAAAAACATGAATAGATTAGGCACCTGTTGATAATGTATTTGCCTAAGTATCTGCTGCCGGAAAGCGAAAATTGGCAAGCAAACATCAAGCCTACGACACTCTCTCATCATCAAACAATGAATTTTATTCCAATCAAATTCTCTTCCAATCTTAAACACCCTTAAACCCTCTTCCTCTTCCTTAAAACCCTTCTCCTCCAAATGCTGAATAACACATTCAATCCCTCCTCTAAACTCCTTTATCCTTTTCCTTATCAAATCCCTTTCCTTCTCAAACCCCTCCTTATTCTTCATAATCACATTGTACACCAAATTATTCCTACTCTTTAGTAATTTCAATTTTGTAATTTCATCGCACACCAAATCCAATTTGTTCTCCCACTTTTGTAACAATTCACCCTCTACTGATAACAATCCCTTCAACTTCTCCAAAAATACCAGTTTTACCCTCTCCTTCAACTCATCCCTATCAGATGAAACCTCAACATTTCGTTTCACCCACGGCGTAAACAAATGCCCGCCTTCGGCCTTATTCTCCATAATTCCACAATCACTTCAAGCGTTTCACTCCATTGATCGTACAGCAGTGACCCAAAAATGAAACCTTTGATAAACACAAAGGAATTCCGAGGGGCAAACGGTAATTTCTCAATTAGAGCGTTCAATTCGGAACGGCTGATTCTTCGGTGGTTACTACGGGAACGAAGCTGGACTATGAAATTCGGCGGTTCGTGCCAATTCCCCGGCGGGCGATCAAGCTCGTAATTCGAAGCATAATAGCACGGCCTATAGGGCCGGTGATTCGCCGGACGGTAACTGTGCTGCGGATACATCGCCGGCGCCGGGAACCGGCGGTTGTTGGAGGAAGAATCAGGTGTATACATTGTATTATAAAACCCTAGAGAATCAACAGTTGCACACAGAAGAAGTGACAGCTTACAGTTCAGTGAAATTTCTAGAACAAAAAATGGAGGGATAAACGAAGAGACGTGCAAACTAGACGGGTTTTACAGTCCGCTGAAGTTGATTTGGAATTGAAATTAGCGCCTTCTTTATAAAACAAATTGAATTTTCTTTTATTAAGTTATACTCCCACCATCGGCTAAATATTATTTTATTAAAAAGAGAAATTTAAAATTAAAATTATTATTAAATATTATTATTCTTTTTTTGAAATTATTAAAAAAAAAGGGTATCACATAAATTGAGACAAAAGAAATATAGTGCAAAAGAAAGAGACTAGAGCGGCATGAAATGTTTTTCACTTTTTCCGATTTTTTTTTACTTTTTTTCGAAATCAGTGTTTAGCCATAAACTTTCCAATTTTCACTTGAAGATGAATTTTGAAATTTTTCAAAAAATTTAAAAACTCCAAAAGCTGTTTTTAAAATTTTCACTCACAAAACATTAAAACAACCCAAAATTATATTCATATTCAAACACAACTCTAATTTTCAAATATCATTTTCACTTGAATAAAAGTTCATTTTTTCCAAATTTTTACAATTCTTATGTCCAAACGCCCACTAATACTTTTGTCTTCAGGGGCCGACTAACCTAAATTCTATAGCGACACTATATTTTTTATGTGTGTGTGTTTTATTTTCTTTTGAAAGAAAAACCTACAAGTTTCCTTCATTCTTGAACTAATTAATATGTGTGTGTTTCAATTTCTTTTGAAAAAAAAAAAAAAGAAACCTAAAATTTTCACGTGTAACATATTTTGCTATCATTTCTGCTTCTACAACCTACTCCGCTATTTGGCCAACCTTCTCCAAATTCAAAAGCACTTTTCTTTCAAAGTTGAAGTGTTTGGCCAAGATTTAAAAATAAAAAAAATACTTTTGAGTAGAAGCAAAAGCGGTTTTGGAGAATCAGAAAATTATAGCTTCTCCCTAAAAGTACTTTTTTTTAAAATATTTTTGAGAAAAATACACTTATAAGTACTTTTTAAAAATTTGGCCAAACACTAATTGCTGCTCAAAAGTATTTTTCAAATTAATTATTCAAACACAAACTAATTTTTATCAAAAATACTTTATAAAAAAGCACTATTCAAAAACTTTTTCTTCCTAAGACTACACCACCCCCACCAAAAGCCAAGCTTCCTGCGTCCAAAACCTAGTGAAGTTAACCGGCAAACGAGCCCTCTGCGCCCTCACGCGCGGCCAACTCGCGTGCTTTTCCGGCGAGATCTCAGCCACGCGTCGGCACGTGTGGCTTTTTCCGGCGACTTTTCAAACTATTTTCTTCAGACAGCCTCCTCTCGAGGATTTTCCGAACCTTCCTGTTTCGGCTTCATCAAATTCCGACGTCTTTTTCTTTTTCCGGCCATTAAACATCAGATTCCGGCGGAATCTAACATTTCTTTCTTCTAAATCTGTATTCACCCACTGTGATTACTACCAAACCTCCTTTTTTCACATAACCTAAGCAGAAGTTAGCACTAATATGGGAGAAAACAGGATATACTTCAATGCCGGCTTCAAATCTTTCGATATCACCAGATGGAATTCCAACAAAGACATATGGTTTGAATGGGTGGAGAGAAGTCGCAATATGATGAGACGCTCATCCATGGGCAGAAAGACAATGGAATGGATTTGCTACGTACTTAAAGAAGCATCGAAAGATCACAAGAATTTAGTAAAGAGATGGAAAAATAAGGACCAACTGACAGAATATTTCTGTACTAGGGAATTCAATGCCCATGGAAGGTATATGAGTATTTTGTCATTAAAGGGAGAAGGAAGATCAGTCATTATTATCCCATAGTTGGCTTCGAATGCAGGCTGGAAAGACATAGCATTTAAGATAGAAAGATTCATTTATTATGCCCCCAAGTTGAATGTCACAGTACCACCCAGAAATACGGTGGATAACTACCCTTATGTCAAAGCAGTTAAGGAGAGTAAATGGGAATCTAATACTCTCCGAGAGGCAGATGTCAGTACCAAAAAATGAGATATCTCTATTTTGGAACCACCCGGAATTGAGGACACTAGTTAGCTGAAAAGATGCATTATTGGGTACTTTGGGAAGGAAATCACTGAGAGACCCTCATTAGCAGACATAAAGCGATGGGCTACTGCTTCATGGAACAAAGCATTTGGGGTCAACATGCATGAGATGACTGGTAACATGTTTCCATTCGAATTTCTGAATAAATACATGGTTGAGCATATTCTTCAAGGATAATGGAGATGGAAAAAGTTCAAGTTTCATCTGGAATGGTGGAACTACACTGCTGGCTGCATACCAAACTCTCAAATTGTGAAAACCTACTGGATTAGAGTCATGGGGATTCCCCTACATGTGTGGTCATAAAAGATCTTCAAAGAAATAGGAGATCTCTGTGGGGGGATGGATAGCTACTGAAGAAGAAACTAATCTCAAAAATCATCTCAAGTGGACCAGAGTTCAAATTACTGGTGATGGCAGAAAGATACCTAATGATATCGTGATTGAAAGAGAAGGGATCAGATTTTTCATTCCAATATGGGCTGAAAAATAGGCAAGATTTGAACTGAAGTCGTCGAAAAACCTAGACAGCGTCGGAGAAGATAAAGAAACGAAACTCATAAGAGACTAGTGGACAAAGGAACCCTATAAGCAACTAATGGATAAAGGCAGTCAAACAGCTGTAGACATGATGGGCGAGAACATGGGGTGTATTGTATTGCAAATTAAAAATAAGGGAAAGGCACGTGCGCAACACATGCAAGGTCCAAGTTTTAATACAATTGATCTGGGCCTTAATGATCCAAATACTGAGTTGAAATTAAATGGGCATGATTCTGCAGCCCAGGTCATTTTTAATGACGTTTTACGTGAGCCCACTGAAGAAAAAAGAATGACGCCTTTTAGTGAGGAACTGGGCAGTGCCTCTTGCTCGAAAATTCAAGAAACCAATGCAGGGGATCCAATTCCCACTGCAAACCTCGAAATTATGGCACATGCAATAACACACATGAATTGCGACCAGCCAGAATGTGTAGTAGAGACGAGAAAATCGGGACAGAAGGTAGGGGAGGATACTGTATGCATGAAAATGGGGGAAGATCAAGTTGATACCAGATTGGAGCACCAACAGCAGTTATGTCACCTCAATTCTGATCAAAATTGGGAGGTGGAGGAGGTTACTGCTCTCTCAGTACAACACCACAATTCAGTAATGGAAAAAAAGATGGATGCGACACTGTGGGTACATCAGAATATGATTAAATTGGGAAAAATATTCAGAGTAGATTTTCAAGGCCATGAAGAAGAAGCACTGGAGTTACTCATGCAAATTGACAGTTGTAGACAAGTCAAAAGATTGGAGACAGAGGTGGAGGTGAAGAAACAAAGGTTCAAAGGCTCACTGGAACTAAAAGTTTTGGCCTCTTTTGATGTCAAATTTAAGAGCGATGAGAAAAGAAATAGGGGAAAAGATATGTCTATTATTGCAATATGAAGATCAATTTAATAACATGGAATGTAAGGGGATTAAATGACAAGAAGAAAAGGGAGATCATAAAGAGTCAAGTACTCAATTGGAAGACAGACATTATTTGTCTGCAGGAGACAAAATTGGAGGGGGAAATCAAGGAAATTGTTAGTCAAATTTGGGGTGGGAGATGGGTGAGGTATGCATGTTTAGAAGCTAGTAGCACGAGATGGGGAATTTTGTTACTATGGGACTGCAGAGTATGGAAAGGGGAGATGTTACAGATTGGTGCATACACTTTGACATGCAAGTTCGAGGCTCTTTTACAGAACTTTCACTGTCTTATAACAGGGGTATATGCTCCTAATTACAGAATAGAAAGAAGAACAGTATGGAGGGAAATTGGTGCAGTGAGGGGTCTGATGGAAGGCCCTTGGGTAGTTTGTGGTGACTTTAATGTCACAAAGTACCCCTCTGAAAAAAGGGACTGCTCGAGGAGGTCCAGTGAGATGGTGGGATTCTCAGATTTTATAGAAGACATGGAGTTGATAGATCTTCAACTCGAAGGAGGATCCTACACTTGGTTCAAAGCGGATAATCATACTACTGCTTCTAGAATTGACAGATTTCTAATTTCAGAAGAATGGGATGATAGCTTCAGAAATATCAAGCAAACTCTCCAACAAAGGCTGATCTCTGACCATACCCCTGTGGCCCTACGTTGTGGTGCTTGGGAGCAAGATAAATCACACTTTAAGTTTGAAAATTGGTAGCTGAATTCCGAAGGTTTTGATGACAGAATCAGGAATTGGTGGTCATCTTTTGAATTTTCAGGAAGACCAGACTATATTTTAGCTTGCAAACTAAAATCTCTCAAAGATAAGTTAAATGAATAGAGTAGAAGTTGTAAGGAAAATCTGGGAATGCAAAAATTAAAATTGTTGAGTCAATTGACAGGTTTTGATGTAACACAACAATCAAGAGCTCTGACAGAGGAGGAATCAGTGAGGAAGGCAGTTATCCTCATGGAATTTGAGGATCACCTCGAGAATGAAGAAAGTGCATGGAGACAGAAATCAAGGGCCCTGTGGCTCAAATAAGGGGATAGAAATACAAAGTTTTTCCATCGCACTGCCAATGCACACAAGAGATGCAACAATATTGACCAACTAGTGATTCAAGATGAAACAGTAGAGGAGCCAAACAGAATAAAGAATGAGATCATTGAATTCTACAAGAAGTTATACACAGAACCTGAAGAGTGGAGACCTGCAACCAATTTCAACAATTGTCCCATAATTTCAGAATTAGAGAAGGAGCCTCTACAAAGCAAATTTGAAGAGCAAGAGGTCCTGAGCTGCCTGAAGATGTGTGCAAGTGACAAGGCCCCATGTCATGATGGATGCACAATGGGCTTTTTCATTAAGTACTGAGATATTTTGAAGCAGGACATCATGGAGGCTTTCAACAACTTTCATTCCCAGGAGATGTTTGAGAAAAGCTTCAATGTAACATACATAACTCTGATTCCAAAGAAGACGGGGGCCAAGGAATTGAGAGATTTCAGGCCAATCAGTCTGATAGGGAGTTTCTACAAGCTACTCTCAAAAGTCTTGACTGAAAGACTTAAGAGGGTGGTAGGCAAACTAGTAGGTGCTCAACAAATGGCTTTTATCAAAGGAAGACAAATAATGGATGCAGTGTTGATTGCTAATGAAGCTGTGGACTCAAGAATCAAACAGAAAAAATCAGGAATTCTATGTAAACTAGATATTGAGAAGGCTTATGATCATGTCAACTAGAGATTTCTGCTAAAAATGTTAGAACAAAGGGGTTTTGGACAGAAATGGGTTAATTGGATGAAATTTTGTATCTTTACTGTTAGATTCTCCATTCTCATAAATGGATCTCCTGAAGGCTTCTTCCCTACTTATAAAGGTCTAAGACAAGGTGATCCCTTATCTCTCTTCCTTTTCATTATAGCCATGGAAGGCCTGAACAACATGATTAAGGCAGCTAAAGTCAATTTATGGGTTAAAGGTTTTGAGGTTGACATGAATGGACCAAACAGTCTAGAGATCACACATCTCCAATATGCTGATGATACTCTAGTCTTTTGTGATGCTGAAGAGGAGCAACTGAGGTTTTTGAGGATTATCTTGGTTCTGTTTGAGGGAATCTCAGGACTCCACATCAACTGTAGAAAGAGCCATATTGATCCCATTAATTAAGTTTATAATATGGAGCAATTGACATTTGTACTGGGAGGAGAAGTAGGGTCTCTACCTACTGTTTACCTTGGGATGTCGTTGGGTGCAAGATCTAAATCCAAAGAGATTTGGAACTCAGTTATTGAAAAATGCGAGAAGAAGTTGTCAAGGTGGAGAGCACAATATCTATCAATGGGTGGGTGGGGGGAAGGCTAGTCTTAATCAACTCAGTATTAGACTCACTTCCTACTTACATGATGTCCTTGTTCCCAATTCCAGCTGAAGTTATACAAATATTAGACAAACTCAGAAGATCATTCCTTTGGCAGGGGAATAAGGAAAAAAAGGTCTTCCATTTGGTCAAATGGAAATCCCTCATAGTGGCGAAAAGGCAAGGTGGTCTGGGAATTAGAAACTTGAAGAATCAAAGCAAGGCTCTCAAAATGAAATGGCTATGGAGATATTCTCAAGAATCCCAAAACTTATGGAGCAAAGTGATCAAAGCTAAGTATGGTGAGGAAAATAACTGGGTGTCAAAGAAAGTCAGCACATCATATGGAGTTAGTGTGTGGAAATCCATCAAGGTACTTTGGCCTACAATGAAGAATCATACTTTCATTAGAGTGAATAATGGAAGGAAAATATCATTATGGAATGATAACTGGTTGGGACATAAATGCCTAAAGGAACTTTACCCTGATATGTTTGGTTTGGCACAAAACCAACAGAAGACAATAGCTGAAATGTGGACTCAAGGCTAGGAACTCACCCGTAGATGACTGTTATATGACTGGGAGATAGCAAGATTAACTGACCTCTACAACAAACTGGAAGCATTCAAAGGAATACAGGAAGGGATGGACTCACTTTGGTGGCAGAGGCAAAATAGAGGGGTCTATCAGGTGAAGGCAGCATATAAGATTTTGAATCAAAGTGATCTACATGTAAATGATTGGCCATGGAAGCATATACGGAGAACCAAAATTCCCTATAAGGTAGCTTGTTTCACTTGGCTACTAGCAAAGGAGGCTGTCTTAACCCAGGATAATCTCATAAAGAGAGGAATCTCTTTGTGTTCAAGATGCTTTCTATGTGTGAAAAATACGGAGACAGTTAGCCATCTATTTATACACTGCAAGATAACATACCAACTATGAAATTTTTTTGTTAGTCTAAGGGGTATTTCATGGACAATGCCCTGCAGGATTACAAAAGTTCTTTTTAGTTGGGAAGAAGCTGGAGCTGAAACAACTAACAGAGATAGATGGAGGACTGTTCCAGCATGCATATGGTAGACAATTTGAAAAGAAAGGAATGCTAGATGTTTTGAAGACAGAAGCAACTCAGTGCAGAAGATCAAACTCAATTGTATTCTTTTTTTTATTTTTGGTGTAAACAAATTTACACAGAAGATACACTATCAATCCTAGACATACTAGGATCTTGCTAGGATTGCACACTAGCACATCCAGCTAACATTTACCTGTAAATATGGTTCTCAGTACAACCTATGTACTGACTTTATTAATATATACTAACGCTATCAATTTTTAAAAAAAAGCACTATTCAAAAGAAAATGAGTTTTGAAGCTTGGCCTGTAACTCTCTTCTTGTGTCCTCGTCTTTCTTTTTCCTGTGGGTCATATGTCCTTGTCCTTTATCTATTCTTTGTTGTCTTTTCTTGATAATGCAATAACTTTATTTGTATTTCTATCCTTGAACTTGAAGTCAGGTCAATAGTTAAGATAGAACTTTATAGCCAATCAAAAATATTTCATGCAAAGCAAGGCCGTTCAACACTTTCCTTTGCAAAATTATTAATTAATTACATCCCAAGATGCTAATTCGGTCTCTTTTGTAAAAATAACCCAAATTAACATGCTAAGTCATACCTCTCTATAACAACATCTCCGTATAACATCACTTCACTATAAAAACTAAGCTTTTGCGAAATCAATTTTCATGTTATGTTATAATATATGTTCTCTATAATAACATTTCGCTATAGCATCCAAAAATATTCGGAACAAACGAGACTATTATATAGAAGTTTGATTATACGTACATAACTAATGCAAAGGTCATGCAACAACCCAAGTGGTGTTTAAATGCCATTTTATAGGGAGGCTAATCTCCCAGCTGATTCTCTATCTAAATACTGTCACAACCAACAATAGTTGAAAAATATGTTAAGAGGCCAAATCAGACATGACCAATTTGGGACTCCAACATTTAGACATATATACATTGGCAAGTATGAGGTACTTGCCAATTTGGCATGTTTTTTGAGAACTTACTATCTGGGAATCTTCAACAAGGTTGTTTCCTCTGTTATGGTTAGAGCTTCAATGAAGAATTTCTCTCATCTAACTTATATTTTAATTTGGATGCCATTTCTTTTCTCTTTTAATGTACCTTAACCGTACATTGTATATATTGTTGTAAGAGGAGACACTCCCTCATTTTGTTAGCTAGATAATCTAGTTTCCATCTTTAGGTTTTGGAGTATGGATAACAACTTTTAGTAAGGTAGTTAACTAGCGTACCGCCACAAGATTGGGAGGTGGGGTTTATGTCCCTTCTATTTGTAACATTCCTTTTATTCTTTATAATATACAAAGTAGAAGTTAAGGCCAAACTTTATGTGATAATCCAAAATATCATATTTAATTTAAACATTCATTTATGTGTTATAAGACCTCGTAAAGTACTACTCATCACTCTTCGACTTGCATGTGCAGTCCGTATAATTTTTCGGAAAGTTTTTATGTGAAAAATGGATTAAAATGTAAAATAGAGCCTTAAAACTCAATTGAGTTAAATTTGGTCAACATTTTGAGCAAACGGACCCGGATCAGTATTTTGACAGCTCTGGTAGATCCGTATCGTGATTTGGGACTTGGGCGTATGGCTGTCCAACGGGACGGGACGAGACAAAATTAACTGGACGGGACGATATTTAGCCGGGATGGGACAAAACGGGATGGGATAAACGAGACGAAACGGTAGGCCCATCCCGTCCCACTAACAAACGGGATGGGACAGGACGGGACATGACGAAACGGGATGGGTTCGCGGGCCTTAAGTGCCGTTTTAAAAATAAAAGTATTTAAGCATTAAGTTTGGCAACGGCTATTGTTTTAACTAAGTTTTTAAAATTTGCAACAGCTAGTTTTTTGACTTATTTAATAAACTTAAAGTTAAACGAAAATTAGAAAACTAAGTAAAGAATTATAAAATATTAAAACAAAAGACTTGTAATGAAATATTCCAGTAATTATAAATTTATAATAGAGTTATAATTTATTTAATATAATTTCAAGCCATTAAATAACTAAGTAAGAGTGTAAGACAATTCATAAAAATAATTCAATGCTTAGAGCCTTTTATTTTATTAATAGAACTTTCAAATCTCACATACAAATATAATTCTTTTGAAAAGCACCTAATCTACGTAGCCACCTTCTAGGAAGTGAAAAAATACACAACAAATATACTCAAGATATTCTGTTTGAAATTTAAAAACATCATTTCTAACAGTGGTCTTAGGAAAACCTTGAAAAGCAGGATTATAAGTTTCTTGTATATAATGCACAAAAGCAGGGTGCGAAGGAAAAGTAAAAAGTAAGACACAGACAACCACAATTTTTTCTAAGTTCTCACGATCTCTATCTTTCTTATAGGGGCGTAAAATAGTACCAGAAGCAGGGTCAAGTTGTTGTTGTAAAAAAACCCGCCAAATCCACTAGGAGTGCCAGTACCGGTGCTAGGATCCGGTATTTGTCCGACTTCTATTTTAGCTTGTATCCATAAAACTTTGTGGTCCCTACCTAAGTGCCTAGTTAACCCTCCCCCCCCTCCCGTCCCACCACTTTTGGTGTGCGCGAATCGTTGCTTACATATTTCACATGTAGCACGTTGATTGACATTTTCATACAAGTGATGTTTTGGGATGTTCACCCTTAGGCTTATCCCTTACAGGAGGTACAGGGGGTAAAGCTCCAGACCGAGATTGACTCTGAGTTGGAGTTTGTATTATGGGACTAGTGGGTGTTTCATCTAATTCTTCTTTCTCATTTTCTTCATCCTTATTTTCTTCGTCCTCAATAAAAATATCATTGCCAAATTATCTTTATAAAGTTTCATGATCTAGTTGTTCTCCGAAATTAATATTATAACATGCGGGGGGTTAGAAAAATGAAATTTTATCAACATGAGTCATTTCATCTTTGTGTTTTCTAATTTTAGGAGAAGGGTTAGGATTACTACTACTTTCACCTTTACTAGTTTTTTTAAATACGCCAAATACATTTTTAGGTGCCATAATTTAAATACGAAATTAAATTTAAAAAGTTAACATAAAAATTAAACACACAAATGAAATACGAAAATAAAACACGTAAAGTAAACACAAAAATTAAGCACTAAAATGATGCGCAAAAATTATATATTAAAATTAGGAGATGGAACGAGTGCACCGTGATTAAATATTGAAACTTGAAGATATTTGCCCAAATACTTGAAACTTATCACTTGATTGTGACAAAATTGATAGAATAATATAGATATAATGTAAGAGTTTTGAGAGAGAATAATTGATTTTTGTGGGAAACAATGAAGAAGGATGGGGGTATTTATAGTAGAAAATAGGGCTAAAGTGTAATTTAATAAACTTAGGGGTTATATTAAAAGTTAGGGGGGATAGCTCCATTATGTCATTTATGACTTGTGTGCCAAATTTGAAGTCATTCCGGATGCGTTTAATATGTTTTGGCACGAGTTTTGCAAAGTGAAAAGTTTGAAAAATCAAAAGTTTGAATCGAGGTGTGAATTAGAATTTCGATATTGTTTGACGTGATTTGAAACACAAAATAAGTCCACATTATATTACGGGGCTTATTGGAATATTCCAACGAGGTCTCGAGGTGCTCAGATGAGTTTCGGGCGAATTTCGGACCATTTTTGTTCAAGAACACTGGGATGGTTTTGGTGCGTCGCACCTGCGCAATTTTGGCCGCAGG